TCGGCTTTCCTCCATGCTGAGTAAACCCACACAACGTGACTGTCTCGCGCAGACAGCAGCAGGCAGCAGCAGGCAGTGCTGCTAGAAAAAAAATGAGCAGTTCGTTTGATTAGTAATCAGTAGTGGCTAAATAACTTTTTACACGTGCGTCAGATCGTTTTGCGGTCTTCGAAGAAAAGTTTCCTTGTAAAAATTGGATTGATTTATTTTTAGAGGACAATGGATGACCTCGACAGATTTATATTTGAAAAAGTAAATTTTCCCATAGAAAATCTTGTGTAAAAATTAAAACCGCTGGCGCTAGTTACACCGACCGACCTAAAAATTTACACAGTTATTCTAGGATCTTAAAGGCCTCCGGAAATCATACTGAAACTGGAATTTAAATATTATTCCACCCTATTGCATATATTTCTTCTGTTCTCGAGCACTGAATTTAGACGTGTTTATTAACGTTCCAACCATAACTTCAAAGACTAATCCCATCACGTGTAAACTTAGTTATTTCAAAGTGTGTAGGGCAGTCTTTGTGGGTTTTCGAAACATTTGGAGATCAAACCAGATTTCTCAATTCACCAAAATTTGCATTTTAAATTCTATCGTGAAATCTATGCTGTCATATGTCACTGAAACTTGATGTGTATCACCCGAGAAGCACTCAAATGTTGCAGGCAGGCATGGAAAATCATTTACATTCATTTCGTGTATTAATTTGCCTCCGACTTTGTTCATCAACAGAATTCCGGTAAATGACATATCTAGAGAGAGCTGGAATTAGGGCGTAGCAGCCTTTGTGAACAATGACTTCTCTCGTTGATTTATAAGAATTCAAGGCACGCCTACACAAACCAACATATCCATCGAGTAGGGGAAGTTTTCCCCTACTCGATGGTGATGTCGATTTGCCAGGGAGAGCCATGACTTTCGAGAAATCCTCGAGAGAAGTTGTTGTTTACAAAAGCTGTTACCTCCTAATTCCAGCTCTATCTAGATATTAAGCTTGTTATTAGCTTCTGCTTTGGTAAAAATTTCTATGGCAAATATTTGGATTGTATTTATCATTCCATTTATTTGACAATTTGTCAAATAGTGTGATGGGTTTATTTTTTTAATTTTTTGCCCAACACGTTTGCTGAAAACAGCCCAATAATTTATTTGATATTATTGAAATTATTCAGTAGCAAACAACATCTAATAATGGTCGCTTGCTGTGATCACATTTTACCACTGGAATATTCGATTTATATGATGTGACACATCAGTTCAAAAGCATTTGACTTATCCTGGATGTTTCAAGACTTCCCTCAAAATCCTTTTGCTTTTTCGTAAATGTTTTCGGGACATCTACTGAAAATCTTTAGAATTCATGTTGAATCTCCTCTGGATTATTCTATCAACCTTGTTCATAAAATTGTCCTTAATATTTTTGATCATTCATTGAGTTGTCTCGGCTGCCTTTTGGATTTCTCCTAGAAGTCTTCTGAATTCTTCCTTGATATCCTCTAAGCTTCTCCCGGAAGTCCTCTAGACTCATCCGGATATTCCACTGCATTACTCATGGACTCCAGGACTTCCCGATAAAGTCTCCTATGAGCACTTGCAAGAAATCTTTAAAGTTCCTCCTAGAAGTCTATAGGGGGAGGTAGCTCATCGATTCTTCCGGTTCGCCTCCTAGCATCGTGCTATAAGGTACCAGGCGATAACCAGGGTAGTTGATCGATAGCTCGATGACGTCATTTCGTTGGCGTCTGCAATGGGAAATTCTCATAGCAGGCGTTGACGATGGGACGTTGTCGAGTTGTTGAATAGCAACTATCGTGGTAACTCACCGATTACCTGTCGATCTGCCAAATTTGGAAAGACGTCTGCATTGAGTTGTCTCATATAATAATATTCCGCCCACTATATCACAAGAAATTGCGAGTAGCTGAGTGGAATGGAGATAAGTTAAGCATTGGGTACAGGACCAAGTCTCCCCTGGGTGGTGCCAAAAGATGAGCGCAATAGAATCATCAAGTTGCCATAAGGCACGGAATGAGACTATTGCATGGCTGGGTAGTCAAAGTCTTCCATTCGTTAGTCATTTCAGGTGGATTAGAACAGGTTTAGGTTTAGGGTGGGCGTTGGCCAGATTTGGATTTTTCAGATGTAATCCTGGATAGGACCCTGTCATTGAACGTCGCGTGAAAGTGGAACTTAATGAAGGCCTAAGTACTTTTTCGTAGTTTTTAGTTTTCGGATTTGAAAGATCGTCGGTTACAGTGACCTGCTTACTGAGCAGAAAAACGCGGTCCCAGGTCCTTACATATCAAAGAGATTTATGGTAAAATCGCTTGTGTATCGTGTATTTTGCGAAACTCGTTGTTGTCGTTGGTTCCGGGTTTGAATGGATACAAAAATTTGAGCAACGGTATTATGTGATATGAAGGGCTCGGTGGCCTTAGAGCAACCGTTTTTGCTTACTGAGCAGAACATCATGAGTCTAATCTCAGGCCCATCCACATTCAAGATTTGTCAATCGTTTTATTTGTTAATATGACTACATGGTAATAACAGCAACTCGGTGATTAAAAAGGTGCTCGTCTGCCTAGTGGCAAACGTTTTTGCTTACTGAGCAGAAGACCGTGGGTTTAGTCCCAAGCTCCTTCGCGTTATATGATCGTTAGGACATCAATTCAGCTTATCGTTTACCAAAACGAACCCTGCTGCAAACCCAACCCTCTTATCCAACATCCCAGTGATTCCTCGTGGAAGTGCAGAGGTGTTCTCGGCTTCCATCAAAGCGAGTGTCATGTCAACACAATCCTTCCCATTCCTTTCTTGACCTGTGTTCGGGCGCGGCCGGCGCTGGTATTGCCTAATTTAAGATCACCAGTTTTTACACATTGAGGATGATTGCTAGTCCCAAGCATCGTCTATTGGTTCTCTGTGTAATTACAGCTGATCTGGCAGTAACAGAGTAGCAACCGTGGGCGGTCAATCAAGCTCAAGCTCAAGCTCAAGCTATGAGCACTTGCAAGAAATATTTAAAGTTCCTCCTAGAAGTCTATAGGACACCTCCTTAAAATTCTCGGCTCCTGAAAGTCATAGGGATTTTTATTAAAAATCTACCTGAATCCTTCTGGATTTGTCTTACAAATCTTCTGGAGCACTGCTGGAAGTTCTCCGAAATTCTTCATAAAATCTTCCAGGCTCTAGTGGTCCTCATAATACCTAAGTCTTCTGGACGTCTCAAAGAAATCTTCTACGCTTATCCTGGATGTATTTGGGTTTTCTTCTGAAAGTTTTTTAGACTTCTCCTCAAAATCCTCTTGTTTTCTCCTAAATGTTTTCTGGACTTCTGCTGGAAGTTTTCTTTCACTCTGGATTCTTCTATCAAACTTGTCTTTAATCTTCTTGATTACTCATTGAGTTCTCTCAACTGGCTGTTGGATTTTTCCTATAAGTCTTTTGTATTCTTGCTGGAAGTTCTCTAGACTTTTCCTGGAAGTTCTCTAGACTCATCCATGCATTTCTCACGGATTCCAGGATTTCTCCTTAAAATCTCCAAAAAATGCTGGGAGTTCATAGGAACCGAAGCTTCCTCTGATTATCAAAGCAAAACTCTTGCATATACCTCTCTTTCGATCACTACAGAATGCACATGATAGGTACTCGACTGCAATGGAGTAAGCTCGCTGCTCTCTATGCATTCTGGGCACTTGCAAGAAATCTTTAAAGTTCCCCCTGGAAGTCTATAGGACGTGTCCTTAAAATCGTCTGCTTCTGAAAGTCCTAGGGATTTTTATCAAAAGTCTTCCTGAATCCTTCTGAGAATCTCTTACAAATTTTCTGGAACTCTACTGAAAGTTCTCTGGAATTCTCCATAATGGCTTCCACACTCTAGAGGTCCTCATAACTCCTAAGTCTTCTGGATACCTCGAAGAATTCTTCGAAAAGCTTGTCCTGGAAGTCTTTGGGATTTTTTCAGGAAGTTCTCAAGACTTCTCCTAGAAGTTTGTAGACTTCCATTGAAAGCTTTCTCCTAAACGATGTCTGGACTTCTGCTGAAAGTCTTCTGAATTAATTTTGAAGGACCACTGAATTCTTCCCTTGTCCTTAAAATTGGCCTTGATCTTCTTGATTACTCATTTCGTTCTCTCGGCTGCGTTTTGGATTTCTCCATAAAGTCTTCTGAATTTCTCCTGGAAGTCCTCTAGACTCATCCGGATAGTCCTCTGAATTTCTCACGGAAGCCCTCTGGACTTCTCTTCGCAGTTCTTTAGACTTCTCCTGAAAGTGTTCTATACTTCTTAAGGACAAGTTTGATAGAATCCACAAATAGTTTTCGTGTTCGAAATTACATCAACCTATCGATGTAATTCCGTGCAGAAGTGCTAAGACCTGGCAGAAGCTTCAGGGTAGATCGTTGCAATTTCATTAATTTCAGGAAATTTAAGTGAAACAGAAGTTTAAGTGAAAAGAAGTTTTTAGATTTTCAGGAAGCCCTTCAAAATGTAATGTAGATTACGGACTTAAATTATGAAAATGCGATTGTAATTGATGGACCTAATAAGTAATTAATGGACTGCAGGGTGTAATCAGACTAGAAAAAGCTTTTATTAATGAAATTTTCACTAATGATTGTTTTTGGTAGCAATCGTCACTTTCGTCACCTGCTGAGAACGGTCCTGCAAATAATAAATAATTGTGTAGGTGAAATTTTCCTATGCCTCTCAATAATTTTTTCATGTCAAAATACTTCACCTAGTGCCCAAAAATGAGTTCGAAAGTGATATCGTAGATCATTTGTTGAATTGAATTGGACGTAATCATTGATGACTTGAAGTTTCAATGACATTCAGAATGGGTTAGTACCTACAAGCTTTATTCAAGTTCAAATAGGAAAATTTACACGCAGAAATGCCCAACCAAACATTAAAATACCCTGTTACAATTTTATGTGAGTCTAACCGCACCTCAATCCTAATGAGAGATAATCCCATATAAAAACCCCACAACACACGCCTCCAAATCCAAGCCATTCTAGACATCGTCGGACCCAACGCCACCTCTCACCATGCACCGATTCTCCCCCCGCGTCGCCAACCAGCTTTCATCGAGTGACATTTGCTTCATCGGTCTGGAAGCATTCGGCACCACCCTCCCGCCGCCATGTGCAACATGTGAGTGCTGTCTGTGTTCTGGCTGAGGCTGCTGCCAGATAAATTTCAATTTCCAAAGATTAAATGGATTACTGCGAGCCGGCTCCAGGACAACTCCCCCGTTCGCAGCGGCAACCAAGCCGTTGTTATCTCTTTCGGTTTCCCCAAAGGTCACGTTGTACTGCCGCTTGACCGCACTTTCAACAGATTTGTTGTTATTGATCCCGGTCGTCCCCGTCGAAGGCAACAGTGTCCTCCCCCGGTCCCCACTACCATCCCCATAGCATGCCAGCAGCGGAGTAGAATACTGTCGCAGCAGATTCATCCGATAGAATCTACTTAACTGGAAGGGTTCCTCGTCGTCGCTGACGACAACGACGACATTGGATGAGGCATCCCTGCCGCCACCGGAGACCGGCGGCTTTGCTGAACCGTCGCCATTCGCCGCCCTTAGGAGCCCATTAGATGCTGGGAGCTGCTGAAAGCGCAAATCGTCCAGCGATAATGTGTACTTTTCACTGCTTTTCCGAATCGATGAGCTCGTCAGATACGAAGAGGTCGTAGTGGTTGTAAATGTGGCTGACCTGCCGCGTACTTTCCCACCCCTTCGTCGCAGGGGGTGTCCCCACAGGCGAGTGCATCGGCACAGCCGCAGGAAGCCCTTTCGGAACTTGGACGACATCAGGTTGTACAGTATCGGGTTGACAGCCGAGTTGAGGTAGAGCATGATACGACTAAAGTACAGCAAATTGTAATACTTTTCTACGCCTAATTTTTGGAATGTTTCCTCGGAAACCATAATGATCCACAGGGTGAGCATTCGGAACGGAAGCAGACAGGTGAAGAATGCTAGCACCACTGCACCCAGCATCAGCACCACCTGCTTCCGCGCCTTGTAGCTGAGTTCCGGTTTGCTGAGGCGGATCTTCATCCGCGAATTGTTACTGGCGATGAGATTCTTGGCGATGATGGCATACAGCACCACCAGGATGATCAGTGGTAGCATAAAGAACAGCGATATGGTCATCAGGAAGAAGGTCATCGTCCACACGTTGGAAGCCTTCGTGAGGCATACGGCCGCCCGGCTTCCATCCGGATACTGCTCGACGCTGTACTCGGCGAACAATAGTATCGGACTGGGTGGTTTGGTTGATGCCACGCGTAAGCAGGTGAGTTTTTTTTTCGGGGGAAGAGATACAGAAAGGGAAAGCGATTGTCAGTTATCTATAGGGAAGCACATTTCTTTTGAGGTGGTGCAAGCTGTTTCGAGGCATGTTTGACGACTGAATGATGAGGTTTCATGTTCCGGGTTTTTTTTCTGGTCTGAAATTTATGCACATTAAGCAAGAAACGAAATGTTTTTGTCAATTATAAACTGTGTCCAATTGTGTCATTTACTACCACCTAGCAGCAGAGCGGAGCGGGTTGATCTTGCCCATCCTGGGAGGAAGATTCAACTGACGCTAGCAAGATTGTGACATGCGTGTCGTATTATTGCACCATAACGATAAATCACTCGTCGAAACGAAGGTGTTGCAAAAAAAAATACAAGAAGACTGCCACCTGAGAACGGCAGTCAGTTTTAATGATCGTTTATAGTTTTTTTTTTTATTGCGGCATGAAATCGGTGGTGATATGCTCGTCGTCCGGCAAGGCGGCAAAAACGCACGTAATTACCACCGTGGATGACATGTAGCGCCAATAGGGCTACCGTAAATCGTCAGTGTCACTTTGTGTGTCATCGATTGTCTGTCTTCAGCGGTTAGTGAATACAGGCTGAGTAAGATCGGATGAGTTTTTCAGGCCATATCGAAGAAAGTAGTATGGGCGTTTGGGCAATTTTTATGTCATTCCCATAAATATGGATGTGCTTGTTTTAGGCCCTAAAAGTATGGCAAACAAAACCACAATCGTAGATAGCACATAAATCAGTTCTCAAGTTCGCACATTAATTGAATTAGGGTGTACCTGAATAGTTTAGTTTGTTTTTAGCATTTTTTAAATTCAAATTTCTCATCAAAGTAATTTTCGAAAAACTTCTGAAGCATCATGAGAAGCATGTTTTATTGTAAAAATATCGTCGGTATCTGCTTATGGCGATACAATCCATAAGCCTGGACTCTGATACCACTTCGCATTTTTCCGAGGGGGACGACTCTATCTACGATGCAAAAAAGATTGTGTTTTGCTGTGGCTAGCTGCGCGCACGCTGAGTAGATAGAAAGAAGATTGATGACGATTCTGAAGATTTCCTGCAAAAAATTGATGAGCGATGCAAGTAGATGCGACAAATGAAAGAAGATTGTTCGAAGATTGATTCGCTAGTGTGAGATTTGTTGACCATCTAAACTTGAGATTTAGATGTGTCGCCCCCCTCGCATTTTTCAGAAGTCAATTATATGCTACCGGGAAAAAATCAATAACAAAACTGCTTCCCCATGTTTGCTGCGACTCAAAAAATATGGCGATACAAATTCAATCCTTATAATCACAATAGTGTCCGAAATTATCTCCCTAGAAGTGGCTGTGCAAGTGTATATAGGTTGTGGACGCTACATCGAACCAATTGCGCGCTGTCAAATCGTACCAATTTTTTACTATCCCGGTATGAAGAAACGAATGTATGTATTACAATCCATCAATATTAGTAGTTTCTTAAAAAAAAAAAGATTTACATATGGTGGCATAAAGCACCTCTCTTTTCTTTTATGAATTTTCGAACAATGAAAGAGTCACGATTAAATTTTAGGCACAATGCAGTTTAAGGCCATCGTTCGGACATTTTGAGCGGATTGTTTGTGGTTTTCCAGGAAACGTCCCAAAAATCCGGTGAAGGAAAGTGAATATCGGGAACAAAATTTCGTGCGATCGCTGCCAAGGATTTTGTTTTTTTTTTTTCTAAACAAAATTTGGGTGGAAAAAAGCATTCAACTTCAAATGATGTGCTTTTTCCGGGAAACTGGCATTTCCTCCCATAGAGAATATGCACGTGGGGTGTTTGATACTGCTGGCTATTTCTCCCGTCAGTGTATATGTGCGCGCAAGGATAGGCAAAATTGCACCCAGAGATGCCAGATTTAAATTTACAGACTTTTCAGCTTTTTCACAGATATTTACAGACTTTTGTAATCAAGTGAAAATTTTAAAATTTGGTTACACTGTTTTAAATCTTTAATCAAATTTCACGTGCGATGCATTTTGCAACACGCATTAGAAATTCGCTCGTTTTCAAATCCACCACACGAACGAGCTGTCACTTTTATAGATATTAGTGGCGTTTAACGTACACACACTACACTGAAAATAAAATTTCGTTTATACAACGAAATCGTTCGTTTGTTCTACGAATTTATTCATTGTTTTCTGCAACGAAATGGATTTGTACATTGTATGAAGCTAGTTTCGTTAGAACTGCCACACTCGCTATCGCTACACTCAACCAGCGGTCCACAAGTGTTGGTTGTGGAAACCGAAAAATGTGGAATGTGTTAGTGAAGATGGCTAAAAATAACTTCATCATTGGAAGGAATAAATGACAAAAAAACAAAATTAGGCTTCAGACCGGACTCGTCTCATGAACCTTACGATCGTTAGATCTGTGCTTTAACCATCGCTCTATCTGTGCTATGAGAAGAGGTATAGCTAAAGGCAAATAAGAAGCACTCATGCGACGAGTAATTTGATTGCATGCATTGGTCAAACCGATAATATTTCTAAAAAAAATGTCCCATCTCCAACACACAATCAGCACTTTAGGAGACAATAAGCGCAGTTGTTGGTTTGTTTGTACAAAGATGTATTTGTATATTATACGAATAAGGCGTAATATTGACATTGCGCCAGATGACAGGAAAAACGAATGTTTCGTACCATTTATGAAAGATGTGTTGTATGTACGCTATTCATTTTTACGAAGCGGTGTTCAGATAAATAACGAAAATACATTTTCAGTGTAGCGAGTGCATCGCCGTGTAAAGTTGTTTATTATTTTCCTGCAGTTTTAGTGTTGAACGAAGCAGCCATTTTCGCCGTTTTTTACCTGAATAAGAGTCGTAGTAGTGTTGAAAAAAATCGAAAAATTATAGGCAACCCGAGAGGAGACCCCACAACGAACTTTTTCAAAAGATCGGGTAAGCTATAAGTTAAGAAAAATCAATGTAAATACTTGCACTAATCATTACGTTGAGTTCCATATGATTTGAGGTATCGTACGATGCATTTCGGCGCATGTCTAAATCTGTCCACTTCTCGAGGGACCCATTTGAAAGAGGCCATTGCACACTGGGCCAGAAATGCAATCTAGCGGAGCAAAATTAATAACTCTGAAACGAAGCATTTCCGCGATGTCTTCGGTAAAGTTTCTCATCATAATAAGGACCATCTATTGACATAAATAAATAGTTCAAAACTCTTCCGCAAAGATGGCGCCACAATCTAACTTCTGTCTTTGACGTTTTGGAGACTTGATGTCTTGGGAAAAGTTGTTTGCCTTGACAAAATAAACAACTCTTTTAAAGACGTAAAATTTCCACAGCCTACTGGTTCCGAGTTATATGAAGTTAAAGAAAAATTGTCGAAAATATGTTTTTTTCTTTCTGTTTCGGTTTTTTGCTAACAACCATATAATGTTATATTTTTTTCTTATGCAAATGCATTAAATAAATAACTTTTGTGAAGAAACATACTGGTTCAAGCTTAAAATTTTAAAGATATTGTTGAAATACCGAAAAAAAACAACTATTTTTGAACTTTAATATCTTACAAAGCGCAAAAATCACAACCTGAAATATTGAGCAAAAATTAAGCAATACTCGATAAACAAAATATCAAAATTTGAGAAAGGTTTATTTTAGTGTTTTTGAGATGTCGTCATTTTAGTGGAGCATGCATTTTTTTTCTATAACTTTTTTCAATGCATTGAAATGGCGTTTTGAAGACTTGACGACTCGGACAAACTTGTTTATCTTGATAAAATAAACAACTCTTCCGAAGAAGTCAAAACTCCACAGCCTACTGTTTTCAAGTTATTTGGAATTACAGAACAAATGTGAAAATAAATGTTTTAATTTTAAATATATTGTTTAAATGCATATAACTCGAAAAAAGTACGCTGTGGAGTTTTGACTTCTTCAGAAGAGTTGTTTATTTTATCAAGATAAACAACTTTGTCTGAGTCGTCAAGTCTTCAAAACGCCATTTCAATGCATAAAAAAAAGTTATAGAAAAAAAAATACATGCTCCACTAAAATGATGAAATCTCATAAACACCATATTCAGGTGGAGGAAAGTTGAATCTCTCACTAAGATGTGCTCGTTCCCCAGCTGCTGGCGTGCAAAAGGACCAGTACTAAGTAACTAACGGATTTCCACACTACATGGCATATAAGATCGACTCAAATTTAAGTTTAAATTACTCAAACTCTAGAAAACGTAGTTAACTTGCAGACTGAGTAAAATTTTCCGAGCCTCATAAATCTTTTCGAAAATGACAAAAATCGACAAAACATCTACTCATTCTAGAAGTATACACTCAAAGAATAAATCACATATCCAATAGAAAATTTCCATTAGAATTTCACATAACTTTCATGTGATCTCATAATTGGGAATCGCACTACAAAATCACATGAACCTTATGTGTCCTATGAAATGTATGTGATTTATCACATAGAATTCATGTGATCATATGAATGTTATGTGAATTTCAGATAAAAATCATTAATTTTGTTATTGGAAAAATATCATGTGCGTTCCCAATGGAAGCTATATGAAAACTTTTTTCGGTGTACGTTTTCAAGAATATGAGCAGTGTTGGCAAAATCATCAATCAAATAATATTTTTCCACTCTCATACACTCTCAACATCACTTGATATTGGTTTTACAAGCTCCTTTGATATTGCGAGTCTATTCACAGCATGCAAAAATCAAGCTGAGAGTTGACTCGACACAAAAATGATTCCGTTGCACATCGTTTTCTTAGAAAGAGAAAGCGTAGTTTGCTATCTCCTTTTAATCTTCACCGATGGCAGACACGAAGGGACTGCTTTTTGGAAGTTTCGGTTGCATTCGGGTGTAAAGCAAAAATCATTAAACTCAATCCCACCACAGTTTGGTGAGTTTTGTTAGCTTGATAT